GTATATATAATATTATATATATATATATATATATATATATAGATGTATATATTCATGACACTTTCTAACACGATGACACGTCCTGGCATTTCTTGACATTACTGTACAATTCTTGACACTTCTTTGACGATCCTTGACATCTCATAAACATCCTTAACAACCCATGACATCAGGTTGTGCGCATAGTTAGGCGGCTGCTCCGCTTGTACGATATATGGGAGAGCTACTGCTCACCTCTAGTTGTAGGTAAGTGATGCATGTCTTTCTTTCTAGTTGGTTGGTATGTATTTTGGACTGCGAGTTTTGTGAGGTTCGTTTTTATGGCTGTCGGTGCGTGTAAGACAATGCCTTTCGTACTTGTATGTATACTATTTGGATGTGAGGTATATGCCTACGCTAAAAGAACAACGTTCCCTCTAGTGCTTGTATGGGTATTATTTGCATGTGAAGTATATGCCTATGCTGAAAGGACAACTGTCCTTGGGCAGTCTTTATATGTGTTGTTGTACATGTCTATGCTGATAAAAGTTCATATGCATTGATGCAGTATAGTGTTATATTTCATTTTCTGAAATAGAAGAAACCGTGCTCGGTTGTAAACTTTTGGGAAGTACATCTAAAATAATTAAGTTTAAAGTTCACCTTGAATAGATATATATATATATATATATATATATCCAACTATTATATTATTATATATATATTCTTAATGTATTATGTTACTACGCCCTTTTGCCACGCAGAAACCATGGCCAAATTCCCTCAGCCGTCACCGCAATAACCAAAATGGGGACCACTCCGACACCAATGCACCGGACCGACAACACACGCGGACTCTAGACCAGCCCGTTGCAAGCCTTGTGTGCCTTCAAATGATACTAACTGTGTACACCACACATAAGCGCACTCACGCATACTATTCAATACAAAATCAGGGGCGACCAATAATATCAGTCAACACACTGGTGAAAGGCTTCAGCATCTTCAAGATTATACTAACAACAAAGATGATGTTAGCTCTCATATCAATGTTTAAAACTCTTTAATAACGTAGATTCAGGGTCAGAGAGACATAGTCATCAGACTCAAGGAGTCAAGAGTGCGCGTACGCGGATATCAGTTTACCACACCACGGCCCACGCCAATTCACTTTGGTATCCTCGATGATGATGATAGTGATCGCCTCAATCACCAATCATCACTCCGCGAGAAACACGCAAAACAAATCATGAAGAAGTCCTACGCACTTTTGTCCGTTGTGGTAAATATCTATTTTTAATTTTTCACTCTCTAGAGTAGAGAGTGAGGGTCATGAACTCATGATGCAGATGGATACATACTGAGGGATTTATAAAAAAAAATTGGGGGGGGGGTGGAGGTTAGAAGGCTATATTCTACGGTTTACATTGTTTAGAGTTTCGAATTTAGACTGGTTTCAGGTTTACTCTACAGACTTATTATTTACTGCCGCACGTAAATAGGGTAGTTATGAGATCACTGTATTAACGTTAAACCTTTAACTGTTACTTTTTGGAAAATATAAGTTATTACTTTTATTTGGGACAAAATAATATATATGAATTTAAATTTGCACTTAAAAAAGGTGTCCTTTAATTTCAAAATTTGGGCCGTAGATAATCTTTAGCCAATCAGAAATGTTCAATCTGACACTTAGTAGTTAGAATTGTGTATTTGGGATCTAAAAACAGGACAAAATAAATACACTCACTGACCTGAATATTGCACCTACTGAATTTAAGAAGGGCATATTATGAAAGGTGTCCCTTTTAACGTAAAAAAAACATACAAAAATAAAAGTTATAACTTTAGATTAGCTGGCACAGTGTGGTTGACTATGCTTTTACTCAGACAACTACTTGCGCAGTTGCGCGTAGACTATTCTGTCCTATATTGTTTCCTGGCCAAGTTCCTTTATATTCTATCCGACTGATGAGACATGGTTTTTGAAATCCGATTTATTCTCTATATCGGATGGGGGGGGGTGTAAAACCTGGTGGCTACTGCGTTCAACCTCAGAAAAACTAAACCGTTGAGGAAAGCTTTCGGTTAAATTTTTGGCGCGCCACCTTCGTGTCGGCCAACGGTATTGCTACTGGTCATTGCTTGGACTATAAATACTGATAAGTGAACACATCAGTTGTGTTGGTTCACTTTCTTACTATGAACTTGTGAAATGTGAGCCAATGCAACCGACCTACATATTAGGTCAATAAACTAGACTTTCACAAAATTTGTTACTTGTACATTACGTGTTATTTTGCGGTGCCTTATTATCATCAAAGTGATTGTATTTATTTATTTTAAACCCATTTGTTTCAAGACACAAAACAAAAACAGATGGATAAATTTGTAAAAGAAAACAATGGTTTTTATAGAAATTCGGAATAGAATATAAAAACATCCTAGTACTCTATGTAATACAAAAGCCACTTTTAAAACTGCGAAGGAATTGAATTTATCGAACGTACTCGATACCGCAAAACTAAATCTCCCCCTCTACTCTCTATTGACTATTCTCCACTCTACAACAATGTCCGAAGACCAGAGGTGAGAGGTACAATCAATCCAATCAGTTGAAACTTCAAACCCCATGCAAAAAAACCCTACATTTTTAGTAGGTTTACTCTGCAGATTCTAAGTTCTCTACTGTAGAGTAGGAATGAAAAATTGAGATTGATTACTATATCAATATTTTATTGGATGTTTGTTAGTGATAAATCTAGAGAGTTCATAATGCAAATATGAAATGCCTTCCGGCAGTTCCGTTAGTTTGTTCCACACTTCCACAGCCACAATTCCACAATCCACAGCCACTGTTCCACAAGAGAGTCAGCCACTGCCACACGAGAGTGCCACACTAATAAAATCACAAGAGTCACAACTTCAGTACTTCACACGCACAAAGAGGGAAAAAAAGCGAGTATTTTTTTTGACATCAGTACAGTCAAACCTCTTTTTTTAAAGTGTCTACCTCTATAAGTGTCTACCTCTTCCACTGTCCACTTTTCAACAGGGGTGACCTCATATATATTAAGACTTTTTAAAACTCAAAGAGAAGGCGTATTTACATAGTGACAACACATTTCGTCGTGACGAGATTGCATCTCCCCATCTAACCACCGATGCCACGGTATACGTAAATAAAGTCACGCATATATTATATAAATATATATATAAATATATATAAATATATATATAAATATATATAAATATATATATAAATATATATAAATATATATATAAATATATATAAATAATATATATAAA